ATTTCGAACAATTAGCTTAACTTCCCATGCGTCAAAAATCTTAACTAGAATTGTACAGAGGAGGATGGAAAAAAGGGCGGAAGAACTATTAGGGGAAGATCAATTTGGGTTTAGAAGAAATAGAGGAACGCGGGAGGCCATTCTAGCTTTACGGGTAACAATAGAGAAAACGATAGAATTTGTAGATTTAGAGAAAGCTTTTGACAATGTTAAATGGGACAAGATGTTAAATATACATAAAAATGAAGGGATAAATTACAAAGATAGAAGAGTGATACTTAGTTTGTATAAAGAGTAACGGGCAGTTATAGAGCTAGGGATGCAACGTAGAGAAGTAAATATTAGGAAGGGTGTCAGACAGGGATACATACTGTCACCGCTACTTTTTAATCTATACATCGAAGACGCCATAAACATCATTAAAGACAGTACAACTGTAGGGATAGATGTGCAAGGTCAAAAGATTAGTATGCTTAGATTTGCAGATGGTATATCATTATTAGCATCTAGCAAGGAGGACCTAGAGATAGCTTTAAATAAAATTGAAGCGGTACTGACAGATCAGTACTGTATGAAAATAAATAAAAGTAAAATTAAATTACTGGTATGCAAGGGAAGAAAAAGTAGGGAAAGAGCGAATATATAGGAGACGAAAAATTAGAAGAAGTGGCTGATTTTAGATACCTAGGAAGTCAGAAAAGTCAGGATGGAAGGGGTAGTAGTGATATAAAGCAGAGGATAGCGCAGGGTCGTGTCGCCTTTAATAAAAAGAAGTCACTTCTATGCTTGCGAACGGTTAATTTAGAAATTCGAAAAAGGTTGTTAAAGTTGTATGTTTGGAGCACGGCATTGTACGGGTGCGAAACATGGACAGTGGGCGCGGCGAAAAACAAAAGGTTAGAAGCGTTCGAAATGTGGTGTTATAGGCGGATGATGAGGATATCGTGGGTAGAAAAGGTTAAGAAATGAAGAGGTATTGGAAAGAATAGGAGAACAGAGGACTCTATGGAAGTCAATAAAAAATAGGCGAGATAGGTTGGTAGGACACCTTCTTCAGGCATGAAGGTCTAGTCAGAGACATATTAGAGGCAGAAACAGGAAGTTAGGATGGGTAGAGGTAGACCTAGATTAGATTACTGTTCGCAAATAGTTAAGGATGTGGGCTGTTTCAGTTTTAGGGAAATGCGAAGTTTAGCTCAGGATAGGAAAGATGGAGGTACATATCCAACCAGTCTGACGACCTTATGATGATGATAAATATACAATGTGTACGAACACCATCTCTTTAATTGCAGTTTCTCATAATTATAATTTTTCGTAATAAACACACTTTTAGTTATTTATAAATTACGGTAATAAAAAATTTGATTATAATTCTTTTTCATCGTCAAGCGTTGAAAGTTTCACATTTACAATTTATGGAAATTCTCTTCAAAAAAGAAAACGTCCGGTTCTTGAGTTTCGCTATGCTGAGTTTTAATTTTAGTGAAATCGGTTATGAGCTTCTTTAATAAAATTAACACTTTATTAGCTATTTAAAAATAAAATCTGCAATAAATTTTCTTCTTTAAGCATTGTGTACGCTACACTGACGGCGAATGGGCAAACATAAAATAAAGCATTAATTTGTAGAATTAAATTACGTATTTCCGGTAAACAGTAACAGAACGAAGCAGTCAATGAATGAGATAATTGAACTTGTTTGGGATTGTTTTGTTGTGCTACAACCTTAAAGTGAGATTTATATGAATTTTTGGGTATTTATGTCCATCAGCCAAATAGTTTACGAAAAATTGTGAGCCGTTAGGCAGCAGATAAAAAAGTTAAAAAATCTAACCCGGGCCGGCCGTCAGGGTAGATTTGAACATATCCGAATATGTTTTACGTTCTAATAATTTTAAATTCATACATCGTATAAGCGTGAAATACATACAGGGTTCTTCAAACAGAGTGAGTGGTACATTAGGAGTTTTAAGGAAACTTAGAGAACTAAAAATTTAACAATAGAAGTTATTGGGGATGATATTTTTAACTAAAATAATTTCAACTATCAATAGAAGGTGTAGCTTATAATAAATACCCCCACTCACATTTAAATAGAGTAGAACTTCTATAACTTGAACATCAAAGCAGACGCCAAAAAATTCGAATTATAGAGTTACGGACGATTTTGATTTGACTTATAGAGATTAAGATCTATTTTTACTAATTTTGAGTTAGAGAGGAAAACCCTTAAAGTCAATAACTTAGTTTTTTGCGAACCATAGACGTTTCAAATTTTCGAGTTATAAAGGGAAAATATGTACCAAAATGGCTCACTAATTATTGCGACTAACAGAGGGTTAAGATTTCGAGTAAAGGAGGCTTTGGGGCTTGAAGGGAAGGGAACAAAACATTTTTTCTAGTTCTGGAGGTTTTCAACTTATCGAAGTTCGACTTAAAGAGGTTCTACTGTACTTTATTTTGTATTTATGGAGAATCCTGTGGATGAAGATCTGATTAATTTATAGGCATGCATCTTATGCTTCGATAATATTCTTTTAATTGATAAAAAGAAAAAAGAAAAACAAAAAATGCAACATTAATTTCAATGTCTTCATCTCCAGTAACACTTTTAGTTGTGGTATTTGATGCTTGGAACTAAATTTCGTCAAATCCTTATGTGCATCGTCTTCTATCATTTTCATAACGTGGAAAAACGAGAAATAAGGTTCTGATTTTTAGTTATCAATTATTCAAGACACACTTTTGTTATGCCAAAGTTAGTGAAATTATCTATTTTAGATAAAAATCCAAATTTAATCAAAAATAATAATAAAACATCCGCATGGAACGAAAGAGGATAAAAAAAGGAATCGAATGACTAAATAAAATATAGTAGGTGCCATTTGAAACGAAATTATTCGTGTTTGAAGTTTTTAAACTTTGGATTTTTCTTTTGAACGCCCAGTAGGTATTTGATTTGAAACCAAACTGGCCGAAACTAGTGGGGATTAATGAATATGTAGATGAAGATGAGAACATGAGAAATTTAAACTTGATGAACGCACTTCTTGATATATGAAAAAATTCCACTTACCTCTTCGGAAACAGTCGCCGGTGTTACAAGGCTGTAGGTGGTTCCCGCATTTAACACAGGCGCGCTCGTGATTTTCGCTAACTCTTCCAAAAGGGCACCGAGTTCGCTAGAGTAACGTCCCCGTCTGTCGCCAATCTCCCCTGTCTCACTGCCATTATATGCGAAATGTCTGTCTGCGTCCGGTGAACGTGTTTTCTTTCGTAATTCCACGTCCTGTAATAACGAATCCTCGACATCGTCCGTCGTACGCGCTTCACCTGCTTCGTTTTCGATATGCTTCTGTTCATCGAGTTCGACAAGTATTTCTTCTATTGTTTTGTAATTTCCCGGACTTTCGACTAATGGCACTGCTGACGGAATTGGCGACCGTTTCTTCTCAATTAAAATGATTGGGTTGCTTGGTCGTGGCGTGTCGTGATAAGGTGATGTAGGCCTCTGGTTTTGGTATTGACGAGGCGGCAGTGAAGGTTTACCTTATTAGAATACAGAATTAATGATATTAAGTCAAATGGCTACTGAAATAATGTTGCGTCAATCACTGACGTTCGTGTAAAATGCGATTGTAGGCCACTAATGGATTTATAATTAGAGCCACTGAAGATGACATACATCATCCTGTCTACAGCAGGGATGTAACGGAGGTAGTTTTATCGGAACCGAAGGCGGAGTCGGAGTTTTTAAATTTGCTTTATCGGAGTCGGAATCAAAGTAGGAGGCAGGGTCAGAAGTGGTGGCATGAAAGAGGATTTTTATTTAGGGACAAATAAAACATTATTTAGTCAATTTTTTTTCATTTCATTATAAAATAAAACACAAACAATGAAAAAATAATTGACGATAGAGTGCTCAGTGCACGTAGTGGGAATCAGGGAGATTCCCCACGCGACATGTATGAAGTTCATACTATGAACCTGTTCATAACAGTCGACACAGGCCGCCGCTATGTTATGCTTCGACCTCCGATTAAAACCTTCGATTTAAAAGTATCGGAGCCGAAGTCGGAACCGAAGGTGTAATAATAATCGGATGTTCCGACTTAACGGAACCGGAGTCGAAGCTCCGTAACATCCCTGGTCTACAGGTATGCGTTGAACGTTGTTTAATAGCAGCAAGTAAATTGCTTGGGGTTCTGCTGGATCTGTTCACAGTGTACTGACGAGATCCAAAGAGATCGCAGTTACGATCAACTTCTGACTGTTTCGGCAGATCACTGACTAACAACGTTTTAACAAGTCTGATTTTCCCTCTTTGTCAAAAAAAGAAAGAACATTTGTTCTTGAGCCGGATATTTTCAAAATCCATTTAAATTTGAGTGGGCCAATCAAAGGTGTTTGGATACGAGCAGTTCGAGTGGTTCATAAACCTTTAAGAATCGATTTCTGTATCTAAATTCTAGAAGACCAGAAAACTTTGGCGGTGTTGTGGATCAGTCTAAATAGCTCAAACTTCAATGTCAAAACAAGGCAAGTGTCCTGTTTTTGCGTTGGGGTTTGAACTATTTGGAGTGTTCCCCGATTTGTGTAACTATGCAAGGCGGTTATAGATTCTTAAAACTACTTTAAAATCACTATTCTAATTAAATTAGTATTTTCGATAGCCTTACAGAAATTTGTGATTACCTTCTTCTGTAGTAATTTCCTTGCAGTAATTTTTCTCTTGCTGCTTTCCATTAAATTCGTTTGTTGCTTCAGTATCAGTGATGCTTTTCTAGATTCGATAAAAAATTTTTAACGTTTTTTACAAACACGATATAATATTAAATGATATAAGATCGGATTGTGTAATAATTTAACAGTGCTATCACTTACTCTTAAAGAATGTCGTCGAGATTCGATAATTTTTTGCAATTGTGCCAACTTTTGTGAATCGCTGACGCTTTTTCTGACTTCTTCTTTATCAACAACAGTTGCTTCTTGGTTATTATTATCGCTTTCAAAAGACTTTGATTTTCGCCTTAAGAATTTTCTGACGAAACTCTGACTTCTGGTAATTTTTTTCGGCGTATCTTCGCTGTCTTTCGGCATCTTCACGAGGTTCAGAAACGTTTTTATCCTGTTATCTTTGTGCTTGATTTTACCATCACACGATGAACTCTGAGTAGATGAGTTATATTCCTTCCTCTCGTCCTCTTTTAGTTTCATCTGACGCATCCATACTTCACTTATGTTTTCGTAGAGTACTTCTTCCTGGTAAGCATATTTTAGTGAATTCTTCCTGCTTAGTTGTGCTTCATTTTCTGTAGAAAATTTACCATTATTTTGGTTACTTATTGTCTCTATTTCTTCTTTTATTGGGGCGTGTAATAGGGAACCAGTGGATCCTCGCGAAGCTACCAAGTGACCATCGCTTTTCCAATGTTTATTCCTTTTTGTAACGACACCTTTTTTATCTATGCCATTTGATTCAGCTATTTCTTCGTAACTCTGCGACTTATTCAATGAACAATTTTCGTTGTTGTCGCCTGTTTCTTTAACAACGTTGTGAAGACTGTTGCTTTGTTTCAGAAGTCGGCAAAGGTTTTTGTTTTTTGGTAATCGAGGACTTTTTGTGTACTTCTCTTTCGACGGAATATTATTCAATGTTCCTGTGCTTCTGCTAGAATGCTGCGTTGGTTGGATTTCATCTAAAATATCTTTGCGTTCTCTTTTTGGCGATTTGAAACGGCGCGGTAACGTGTTTTGTCTGACTAGTGTACAAATGTTTTCCTAAAATTTAACGAGAATTATTTCTTTTAACTATGATAACGTCGTTTTCAATAATTAAACGCAACGGTTATGCTTTTAAAACAAATGTATAATTCATGAAGAAGTCTGAAATTCATAATTTGTTAGCATCCCTTCTTTTGACCATATTGTAATCAGTACGAAAAAAAAGTGAATGAGTCTGTTTTCTACAAATATTTATATTAAGATTATTAGCTACTAAAAACATCTTGTGTGAACAAGATATGATTAAGATATGAACTAAATCTCAATAACTCAATATTATATGTACCAAATTGTTCGGCGCATCTCGAGTAATTACTACGATAATTTTGATGTGAAACGAAAGTTTACCTTATTGCGTTTGATCCGGTCGGGTAAATCGTCTAAAGAATATCTAAAATGATTCATTCTGTTTGATGTGATTTTTGTTTGAGATGTAGAAAGCATTATTGCTTGCATCCACTTCTCCTGTTCGATTCTATTCTCTGCTCTCTGAAAAAAATTAACTGAACATTCCTGCCAACGTTTTGTTTTATTTTATGAATAAATTCTAGAATTTATTGGGATATAACATGTGAATAATAATCTTTTTAAAGTTTTGCTCATTTATTTTTAGTTGTTTGTCATACAAATACACAAAATTGATTTTTAAACTAAACTAATAAATTATCATACTGGTTGGCTTTAATAGGACAATAAGAAATTTATTTAAAAGAAAGTGAATATTATCTATAACAATAACAGAAAATAAACAGAAAAATAGACGCAAAATCTTAAAAAATTGTCTAGTTATGTCGTAACTATAATAATACTCCAATGATTTTAACCATTTACATGAGCCGTGTGACCAGTCGTACCGCACTCTTTAACGTATAATGCGGAATATACAGAGACATGAACCTGTAATCTGTGCAAACACTACTTATAAATTGCTGTTAAGCACGTATATTTTATTATAATACAAATGTTTACGGTAGAGATATTGCTAAAATAGCAGCAATTTTTTTAAAGCAATGATTGGTTGGTTACTATCTACATAGTTTATTAATCACAAGCGTCACGACAGTTATTAAGTTACTAATATTCAGTGATAAAAACCGTAAAATAATTCAAAATTTCGTATAAAAGACAGGAAGGCATTTAGAATGCCGTGTATTTTATTAACGAAAATATTTTTTGATCTACTTAACGATTTTTAAAAATTAATTTATTTGTTAGCGAATGATTATATATGGTTTCAAGACTCCAATTTTTTGCACCCCAAAGAAAAAATTTCGATGTTTGACGAAGCAAAAACAGTGGCGTAGAAAGGTAAAAAAATCCGAAAGTTCGAATTATGTAAAAATAAAATAATAAATACTGTAAAATCAATCAACACAAATATGGTGCATCTATAAGCTGTTTATATTTACTTTAAAAAAATAAGTGAATGTGATACAATTAACTTCCTAATTCCTGACATCCTGCTTATTGTATAGTATATTACAGCAATTACACCTTGCAGTCCTCAGACTGCAACATAATTAAATAGGCTAACACCACCCTCACCGCGCCTGTACTGCTGATTAAGAAAAAAATATTTTTGTGTAGACATGTACCAGTCATAGTTCCTATTAAAAACGTCTTAAGATGATATCAACCATTTCTTTCCCCTCTACAATTTAATTTTTGGAAACAGAGTTACAATAATAGTTGTAAAAGTTTATTTTTAGGAAAATTCAACCCACATATTTCACCTCCTTATATAATACGGGGCGCTTCCGAGGAAGGTTTTCTCAGTTATATAATAATTTTCAGTGATGAGCAAAGATCAAGACTGTCTTTTGGTCTTGGTTTGCACAAATTTTTCTATTTATCGACACAATAATTGATGTACGCTTGTTTAAGATACAAAAAAAAAAAGAACTGTATTAAAATAAGAAATAATTTAGTATCTGTAGTAATCAATAAATACAGATTAGAAGAAAGAACCTACCCCAATAAAATCTTAATTACCAATTTTCACTAGGTAAGTTTGTTGGTACTTATTAGTTTATTGCTAAATCCTAAAAAAAGTTTCGGAT